CAGCCCATATATTAGGTGAGTTGGAGATGCTCTTACAATGTTAGTTTTTACTATTGTTATAGAGCTCATTTAATTACAATCTCGATTTGATTACAATTTTATTTATTTCTTTTGTAAAAAATAAAAATAATATATATATTGTAATATAATATTTTATTATAATATAAGAACATTATTGATTTTTTTAGAAGCAAAATTACTTTACGACAAACAATGAACAAAGAAGTGAAGAACTAGTTTAAGAAACATTGAGAGAAAACTCTCATAATATAATTAGTAGTTAAAAATTCATTGGTAGTGTAATTGATTACCATTTGGGACCCAGTTGATCACTTATCCTTGGTTTTTAACCGCCAAGTGTCTTCACACAACCAGTGGCAATGAGAAAAGTCGAGACTCTAGATTAATTTCCTATCCACAAAACGGTCAACTGCCACGTGTCCACTATCCCTGCTCATCCCCATCCCATTACCTCTCACCGTCAATCTCATGTGATCAGTTAAAAAATCAGAGTCTTATTTCAGATCCAAACACCAACAATCCATACACAAAACCCTAATTTTCTCTCTCTCTCTCCCCCCGGTAATACCAATTAAATTGCATAAAAATGCTTAAGAAAACTTGCTACAACTGCAATTTTTTATAAATATAGATAACATGGTACTTTGATCAACCAACCAATCCGTATGTGTGTGTATTTTAAAGTATTTTAGCAACTAGTAAAACATAAATCTAATATCTGGAAGCCCTAAATTTAGAAAATTTGCCACCAGTTAACTTCATAGTTCCATCTCTAACATAACATTCTAGGCACGGACGTGACAAGTTCGAATATCAAGATTTAAGGTCTTAAATTTGTAACTTCCAATTGTCCAGTTGACCTTGCATTTTAAAGCAGATCCATAAACAAATAACTACCGATATATGTGCAGACATGTGCATGTATGTGTGCGTATTCAAAATTAATTCCCTCATATTTCAAGAATCGTCTCATCTATAAATATATCAGGGAAGATGAAACAACATCAACAATATACACGAATAAGCTACATAATCAGTTACGCAGAAATGCAATTTTTAGAATCATATCAAAACCCTAATCTAAAATTTAAGAGTACAGACCTAAGTGGAGCAAAAGATGAAGAACTACATATTAGGTATATAAAATGCACGTATGTGTGTGTGTGTGTGAGGGAGGGAGGGATAGAGAGAGTACGTGGAAGACGCCACATTTGAAGCACTCAAACAAAGGATCAACATAAATTGTTTGGTACAAACAATTTATGTTGTTCATGAATGTCACATAGTTTTGTGGCTAATGACAGTTTTATCTTCTAGCTTCCTTGCAATCACACTTGTTAAAGATCAAATTGGCAGAGAATCAATACCTCAGTAGCATACAATACAACAAAGTCCAAACCGGACATCTTCTCAAGAGTGAAATTCAAAGTTCGAGAACCTCTATCTGACAATTAGATTGAAAGCATGCTATTTATAGTAAAGGCAGGAGCTTAACAACAAAAATTTTACTGATTAATTATATATGAGTTATATGAAATATGTAACTTTGACAAATCATCTAACAAAATAATATCCAAGCAGTCTTAACATGCTTAAAAGAATTACTGTAACGATTATATACAAGTCATCTAGCAAAATCAATCAAATCTTCTACTACAGATCAGTACTAGCATCACAAATGAACCCAATTATATTACTCATTAATCGAGCATTCAATAATAAGCTAAACTAAAAACTGATTACCATAATATTTGCTTTCAACCGACCTCAGATCCAATATTGTGAATGAGCCCTCAAGAATAAAAGCAATACATACCAACTAGAAATAAAAGAAATTCAAAGAACCATAGAAGTTTCATAAAAATTCGTATTCGACTTGCTACTTATCTATATACACATGCAACCTGAAGAACCTGCCATGTGGTACTCTTGCCACTTTATTTCATCTAACTCTTAGGCATGTAGCAAACAGTAAAGGCTACTTGAGTGCACTATCAAACACCAAATATGTAGTCTTACCAAGTTTTGGATTAAGGAACAGTTGGAGAGCTCGATTGCATTATATAGGATTTGATATCAAGCATTGTTCAAGTGTTTCCAACCCTGGTTTTAAGGAATATGTAGGATTTGATATCAAGTGTTTCCAACCCTAGTTTTAAGGAATATTATTCATGATGCAGAATGAGAAAAATGAGAAGCATTTCCTTGTTCCCCCAGAAAATAAAATAAAATAAACCGATCTTATTTTATGACCATAACCACACAAGTAGATTACGAGAACCAACCACAAATAATATCTACTTATAAGTCTAACAAACATGGTCTTACATTTTATTATAATGCATAAATACACCGGAGAAAAAATAGGTTTGTTTCAGCACATAAAAGAATACATACCTACATACACATATATATATATATATATATGACTGAACAAATTAGATTCGACCAAAAGGCACTCAAGAAATTATTTATCTACTCAATTTCCCAACACAGTTGGCACAATCCAAATTGAGGGTGGCATATGCTTATGTGAAGGATCAAGAATGTAATGCGTCCCAAAGCTTCCATTTTCTATGTCGAAGATACCAATGTCGCGGCGCCCATATGGGAGATAGAACCTAATGTCAATATAATCATCCGTATAGTATATGGAATTCGGCTGACATCCAGGCCATTTGGAAGCTGGAACACAAATTGAATGGTTATCTCCCAAAAAAAGGGTGTCTCCACCCAAGCTCTTCACTTCAACCTGCTTAGGGCTACCCTTCTCAGGTTGCTCTAAAAGCATCTTGAAAACTTTAAAGGTTGTAGTTGCATGATGTGAGTCATCTCCATATTTTAGATACCTTTCTACAAGAAGCAAATCCTCGCTAGATGATTCCACGAGATACATCCGTCTTTGACCGCCCTGATGAGTCCCTGGTGCAATTACCTTCACTTGGGGAAGGTTACTCTCCCCAACCCTTCTATTAAGATCAACCATTATGAGTCCGCTGAAATAATCAGCTGCCAAAATCTGGCCTTTATAATATATGACATCTTGGATGGCGGTAAATTTCTCTTTATCTATGTAAGTCCAAGCTTTGTCTCCGGGTAGAATGAATGCCAATCTTCTGTATTCACCATAGATCGCACTAACAATATAGTTGTTAGGAGATGAAGCAGGGTCAACCGACAATGTAGCCTTCATAACTTCAAACTCAACACAATCATCACCGTAATAGTCATCTTCGGGGCCAGACTCAATATCATAGTCGTATTCGGGGTCAGTCTCAATATCATATTCAACACCGTCGGTCTCAATATCATCTTCAACACCGTCGGTCTCAATATCATCTTCAACATGTTCGAATTCTAAGCGGTCCATAATCGGAGGAAGCTCAATTGTAGCACTAGAGAACGGGTTAATTAAGGTTAAGGCAAATGATTCTTCCACGGTAAACAACCAACCATGTGACGAACCAGAAAGCCTCTTTTTGTAAGGTACCCTTAACTGAAAATCATATAGTTTATTGTGAGTAATGCTGTATAGGCTACGTCTTTTCTCGCTATTATCTTCCGTAGGAACCATCAAGAATGGAACTTGCTTGCAACACTTCTTTTGAAAGAATTCAACTTTGTTCTCCATTACAACATCATGCCATTCTTTACAGACTGCACCAAAACGAACATAATCCGAAAGCGAAACCAATTTGTCCATAATCGTATCTAATAAATGCTTCGGAAGGCATGCCCAATCTGACTCCAATAATGAGTCCATATCCATAACCAATAGCACTGCAATGTCAACAAATCAAATAATCTAAATAATCACAATTAACTTACATCATCTCTACAATACTCAATTAATTGGCAAAATTTTGAACACCATTCATAATCTTAAACTAAACGATTCACAAAAAAACAAAAGAATACACAAAGTGGTTAATCAGGATATAGTTTGAATTTATTATAAACTCAAATCTGTTGATATCTGTTTATATAAATACAAAAGATATAAACATATGAATATGAAAAATTGTAAATTCAGCTAATATAATATAATCACAACTCACCTGAAGTCCGGGCGATGCAAACCAACAGGACAATCAATGAGTAAAGAGAATCAAACCAAAAACATACAACGAGTAAAGATATGACGCTGTATTCACCTATATATATATATATAGTGATACTTCTTTTCCTAATCAGAAACCAATTTAGACGAAAGTTCTCAGAATCTTGATAAAACAAGGATAAGTGGAGGGTTTTATTTCGTCGTCGCCCTCGCCTTCTAAACTCAACTTTTACGCAACCTCAAAGGATTTGGATTTAAAATTGGAAAAGGAATTGGATTGGAATTAAAATGAAATTTCATTTATGTATTTGGAATAAACTGGAATTCTAATTAAATAAATTATTTTTTTATGTTTGGATGCAAAAATAGGAATTGGAATGGAAAATTTATTTTTTACCAATTTATCCTTAGAGATGGGTGTATTCGTATATTTGCATTAATTTACTTAACTAAGCTAAGCTATGTTTGCAGGACATATATTGGTACTTAATTCAGAATTTTTATTTATTATATTTTTGGTAACTTAAACCACATATATTATTGGAAACAATATTTTAATATACTTCTTTTACTTTTAAATTTTTTATTACTATTAGAAATATACATAAAAATATACAAACAATAATATGTAAAATTACACTATATACCATTAAAAAAAAAAAAAAAGAAAAAGAAAAAGAAAAAAAGAAAAAAAGAAAAAAAGAAAAAAAGAGTGAAATAAGTCAATTTGGTCAAATTTTCTAAAAGTTATTAATTAATCCTAATAACAAATAAAATACCTAGATGAATTTCCAAATGAAATAAAGTACCTTATTTTTCTCTCTGAATTAGTTTCAAAGATTGAACAAAAATAAATAAAATAAAACAAAGATTGAACAAGACTTCATAGTCATTTTCCATGACAACCAATTTTTACGTTGTAGACACTAAAATTTTAGTGGGCTTTGGTTTTGACAAATGAACTCGTTAAATATGGGTCTAATGTTTAATTAAGTTATTTAATTGGCTTAAGCTTCGTCCACTTAAATTATTTAATTAGCCCAACCCAGATGGTTAAATAAACAGATAAGTATTCCTAATAAAATATATTTGGAATAATTATTTTTAAGGATAATTATCATAATATAACCGGCCCGGCCCAGTTATTATTTTATTCTTATCGGGAAATGACACGTGTCATCATCCTATTAATCTAAGAAGCCTATAAATAGAGGCTTGAAGGTAGAAGGAAGGGACACAAATTCAGAAATCTAGAAGGTCTAGAAATCCAGACACAAATTCAGAAATCTAGAAGGTCCAGAAATTTAGATTCACAAATTCAAAGTCCAGAAATCCAGAGACTCAGAAATCCAGAAGGTCCAAAAATTCCAAACCTAAAGGTGAAGAACAACAAGCACATCCAAAGCCGTGCCATTTTTCATCAAATTCAACAAATCCTCTCTAAAGACGAAGAACAACAAGCATATTAAATCGTGCCATTTTTCATCCAAATTCCACGGTGATCAACAACATGCACATTAAATCGTACCGTTCTTCATCCAAATTTTATAGTAATTCAACTTCAAGCTCGTGCAGCCCTTGGATCCAACCAACAAAAAAGAGATCGAATCAGAGGACCTTATTCTTTGTAAAGAATATTACAGAGGAATGTACTCTAATTTTTTTAAATTAATAAAATATTTTATTTGCTTCCTATTTTGTTATCTTATTTGCAGACTATAAAATGTGTGTGTACAAATTTCCGGCACGCCCAGTGGGACATCCTTTACCTCTCATCTTTTTCTCCTACCATCAAGTTTCTTCTCTATCGGATTCTATGGCTCCCCCTAAGACTTAGACAGACAAGAAAGTCTAAAAGAACATTACAACTACAAAGGTTGATGGCAAAGCCACCACGAAAAGTGGCACGAAGGCCAAATCAAGTGATGGAAGTACCTTGGCGGGCCCTGTGACACGTAACAAGTCCCAGGCAATCGCGTCATCCAAACATCAGCAAGAATTGGTGAAAACCAATCTTACAAAATCGGCAAACGTGAAAACTTAACATGTCAAGAACCCTGACGTTGTTCCAGAGGAGATTCCACCACCAGATTTACCTCATTCCGTTTATGATGCTCACTCTAGTGTTGGTTCACCCCTAGAGTCACCACGTCAGACTTCGGAGCAATTAATTACTTCAAGGAACGTTGACTCTCAAGGCCTATCATACTCAGATGTGGTCGTTGCTACGATAACTGGAGCTACCACGGTGGAGGAACAACTAGCAACTATGTCTCGTGCCATTGAGACCCTCACAAAGACTGTTGAAGAGAAGGACTTGCAAATCGCTACACTGATGAACAAATTAGAAGTTTAAACATTCGGTGAATCACCAATACAGTCTGGGAATCCTACATCTTCCATAGTAGTACCACCTGGGAATCTTGCAACATCCACATCACCACCATCTGCGAATCCTAATTCTATAGCACAAGGTACTCGCACAGAGGACCCCAAATAGACGCCGGTGACAGAATAGGCGATTGGTCAAACCAATCATGCTTCTCCAGTCTCTTCATTATCTGTTGAACAATTGCAAGATATGATAACGAATACAATCTGACCCTAATACGGAGGCATCTCACATTGCACTCTCATGTACTCAAAGCCCTATACAAGGAGAATTGACAGTATGAGGATACATGTAGGATACCAACCTCCAAAAATTCAACAATTTGACGGAAAAGGCAACCCCAAGCAACACATTGCCCATTTTGTCGAGACTTGCAATAATGTCAAAACTGATGGGAGCTTACTAGTTAAACAGTTTGTCTGCTCTCTTAAAGGAAACACGTTCGAGTGGTACACCGACCTAAAGTCAAAATCAATTGATAGTTAGGACCAAATGGAATGAGAATTCTTAAACAGGTTCTATAGCATTTGTCGTACTGTTAGTATGATAGAATTGACTAACACGAAACAATGGAAGGATGAGCCTGTAATCGACTACATTAATCGGTGGAGATCACTCACTCTTGACTACAAGGACCGACTGTCAGAAATCTCTGCTGTAGAGATATGTATGCAGGGAATGCATTGGGGCCTTCTTTACATTCTCTAAGGCATAAAACCTCGCACATTCGAAGAATTGGCTACGCATGCCCATGACATGGATATGAGTATAAAATCCCATGACGACAAAGGTCCAGTGACCATAAAACCACGCAAAAATAAGAAGGACTGGAAGAAGGGCGACAAGTCGTCAAAGACCGCTGCTAAAGATTCCATGGTTATCTTAACCACCCCAATCAAGATATCCGTTAAAGATGAGAAGAAGGACGATAAAAAGCCTCACCAGTTTCAAGAGAGGGAAAGACAGCGTCCTACGCTAAAGGAGTTAGAGAAGAAGGAATACCTCTTCCCTGATTTTGATGTCCCTAGTATATTGGAATGTTTACTTGAAAGTAAAGTTATAGAACTCCCGGAATGCAAACGCCCTCAAGAGATGGGACGTGTTAACGACCTGAAATACTGTAAATATCATCGTATTGTCAGTCATCCAATTGAGAAGTGTTTTATCTTCAAGGAGTTGATGATGAATCTGGCAAAACAAGGAAAAATCTTATTGGACACAGACGAAGTTGTAACTTCAAATCATACTACTACTACTTTGACAACCTTTGTCGTGGGGAGTGCTCGTTCTCAACCTTCAAATTTTAAGGTATATTGAAAAACCATCCAGTTTGGCTCATTCGAACCAATCCCCATCTATCTTGGACAAGGAAGTGTACTTGATGTTTCAACATTTGAAAGAGTTTTTCCTTAGGATAATGAAGAAGGATGGACTCTGGTGACAAGAAATAAGCCACGGAAGCAACGAGCTAACATTTTTTAGACTAGTTATTTTGATAGGAGGCAAATGAAGAAGAAACCTCAATACTGCTATAGACAGTATGGCCATAATAGAAAATGAGTCAAGAAGACACAGTCATCCAAACACGCCTCTATGAGCAAAGGGATCCAGAAGCCCATTACTTTACAAGAGTTCTTTCCAGAAGGATATTTAGATGATGAAGTTGTGACAGCTTACATGGTTTCAACTGAGAAAATGAGCCCTGATGATGAGAATAGCAAGGATCAAGATGGAACCCAGACTATAGAGAACCATGCAAAGGATGTAGCCATCATTGAAAAGTCCGATGATGATGAAGTAGCCACAGGTATGCTTGATTCATGTTATACACCAATTGTTTTCACTAATGAGGATCTTCAGTTGGGTTCGAAGTGTCCTCTCTTCGTTTCTGGTTACATAAAAGAACAAAAAGTTACTCGGATTCTTATTGATGGTCGACCAGCGGTGAATCTCATACCAAAATTTACGATGAAAAATCTTGGCATCACAGTCGACGAGTTATCTCATAGCCATCTTATTATTTAAGGTTTTAACCAAGGAGGACAAAGAGTTATTGGTATGATTCGGGCGAAGCTAACTATTGGCGAGCTCCAAGCTGAAACCTTGTTCCATGTTATTGATGCAAAGATGTCCTATAATTTGTTATTGGAATGGCCTTGGATACATAGTAATGGCGTCATGCCATCGACTCTTCATCAGTGCTTTAAATTCTATAAGAATGGCGATCAAACGATTGTGGCGGACCATAAACCATTTACAGAAGCAGAATCTCATTTTACCGATGCCAAGTTCTATATCGATCCCGATACAC